GGATCTGGAATTAAAAAGCATTGCCCACATCTCTGTGTGTACATATGGAGTGGCCACCATGACTGGTGAAGCGCAATTTAAACCCATCAACGATCTGTAAGCGGATTTCAGAAGAGCAAAAACCGGGTTTCTCTCTCACGTGAGCTCCAATTTGCCCAAATCGCATTTTTTCTGGGCAAACCAAACAAACTAAAGAATGCTCTCAGCGTTTTTTTCCTTTCTACAAAAGAAGAAAATCAATTTCACCTGAAATATTTACTTCAATTTAGGGAATTTTGTAGATCAATTTTTGAATTTTGTTCAATCTTCCTAGTATTTCTACAATCTGATGGACATTTTTTATTAGTCAATAACTTATATATTTTTTCCGCTTATTTTTCTTAAAAAAAATATGTGCAAGCTTATTTTATATATTTTATTTAAAAAAAATTATGAAGAATGTAAAACTAAATTTTGTTATTAAAAACATTTAAAATAATTTATACTTCCATAAATTTTTTATAAAAAAGTCACAATTTTAATTTTGTATACATTCCATGTATTTCAATAATTGTTGTAAATTATATTATTAAAACAAATTATATATGTGTGAGGCTCATTTTAAAGAGCAAGCTTATTTATATTTTCAAAATACATATTATCTGCTAGATGCTTAATGATTGCTATAACGTAAAACGTTTTGTCCAACAACCTAATTTTCAATACAAAAATTTTTCCCTTTATCATTTTTTCTCGAAATTTCACAGTCTGCGTACAAAAATGCGGGGATATTTATGGTCAAGAGAAATTATGATCTTGCTTGACCTTTTTGACCCAATTTAAACCATGCAAAAGATTAGATTTGAGCCTGTGGACAAAAATCAGCAACAATTAATCAACAATGCACTGATTTCTTACAAGTTCCTCCTTAATTAGCGTTTTGAGCTTTGCAACGAAAAATATCTAATTTTTTTAAATTTATATCTTTGTGATTTTTTTTCTTTAGCTTATCAATTATCACTATTGATTAATATTAAATCACAACATCTGCACACTACAATGTTGAATCTGATTAATTTGAAAGTCATAATTGAAAAAAATTTGTTTACAAACTCGAATTCTAACTTAACCTTTCAAGCACTATCCTTGAATTTACTAGACACCCCTTTGAAATTAAACTCGATGTGCTTATCTTTGCGATTTCCACTGCTGCTTCTCAGCAGCTTGAAAAGCCGATTTGGCAAATTCCAAGCAAGTTTAACCAGCAGTCAGAGATTATACTGATTAGCCGCGTCTAACATACGTGTTGCTCGAGCATGCGGATAAACTTTGCCCGTTGTTTGCTGCAGCGAATTTCAGTTTGTTTGCCAAAACTTCTCGGTTTTTCCTCAGCCTCGCACTGTGCGTGTATGGAAGGAAGGTCGGGAGCAAAACACGGCGTGAGGCCGTGAGCAGAGGATTACCCCGCCGGAATCGCATTTCGTTTAATGCGCTTCCCGTGTCACAACACTGCCCATTTGAAATTCAAATAAAAAAGAGCGCCGCCGCCGGCGTAATGGCAGAATAAGCCGCGTTTCACGCGCGAAAATGAGCCTCCGAATCGCACTTTTTCCCCGAGCATTACCCGCCGGCTGTGTACATTTTCGCTCCTTTGATTACACCCAGCACGCGTCTCGTTTTGTAATTTGCCCTGCTATTACTTTGCATGCGGAATGGAGCGGCGTCCAGAATAGGCAAAAAGTTTTGCTCGCCGCAGTTCTGCTTAATTTATTACCGGCTGAAATTGCACGGCCTACTGCATTATTCACCGCGGTTGCGGTGCCACGCTGGACTTTTTTTATGGCTGGTCAACTTTTTTAGGCGTTGCGTTTGCCCCAGTAATGTTTACCTTTTTAGCTTTTGGTTGCGAAAAAGGAAGGCGCTGAAAATTTAATCACCCACTGTGCACAGCTTGTTATTGCCTCTGATGAACGAAACGCAGTTTGATCTTTTAACTTCTTTCATAATAATTAACCTTATCATTGATTTATATCAGAAGTACATGCTAAAATTTTATAAACCCCTATTTTCAGGAATATATAATACAACGTAATTAATTTAAAAAACGGGCTTGACTCGCATTTTTATTCATAAATAACGGCTCTCCAAGTTAGTACATACCTGAATTTGATAAAAACTTTTATCTCTCTACAAAAAATACAGGTTTTGCCTGGTTTTTCATGTTTTCTCTTACTCAAGCGCGCCTCAACCAAAACTCTACAGACCTTTTTATTTTATTATTTATTATTTTATTTCAGATTTATTCCATGATGATTAAAAGATTTATCCAAAAATATAAATATATTGACCGACTAATTTTCAAACAATCTTTTAAATAATTAGTTTAAATCGATAGGAATGGAACAAATTTAATGCTGAATTTTAATTGAGCTAATTCACGGATTAAAAATTACCAATAAGACTTAATTTTTAATTCAACTATACCGACCTTTTATTAAAACTTTAAATCTGTGCATGTGTCTGCTATACAAATAATTTTAACTTTTCTTTGAAAAAAAATCGTGTTCAGTTTGAGGAAAATATTACTCTGCTATTTATTAAACTAAAATCTAAGTGTGTCAACCTAAGTTTCACTGCAATGGATAGGAGTCATTTTAATACGGGAAGTATTGAGAACAATATATTGGCTTCTGGTGGTGCCGTTTTGTCTAACAATCGAATTTTTCCTCCCACCAAATGATTGTTTTTAAAATTATTAAATTTTTAAACAGTTTGAAAAATAAACAGTATTTTGATTACCAATTAGAAAATAAATTAATTGAATAAATGGAGTAATTATCTCATAAATTCAGGAAAGTTCATCGTGTAAAATAATAAATCGTGCTGGCTTTCTCTCCTTTAGCTGCATTTGGAAGATAAGCCAGCAGGTCCCTTTCGTCCGCTTTCAGCTCTTGATAAATGCACCCGAAAACTTTTTACTACTATATTACGTCGTACCTTTTTATCTAACAAAGTACTTCTTCTGCCTCATAAAAAGCAGACTGCAGCGTCGTACTTTTTATTCCTTCGCTGATGCAGTTGTTGGAGCGTAAAATCTCCTTTTTTACCTTGCATGCTTGCTTCCTGGTGACTCTGACAATGAATACCCCCGTAAACGCGATCGCGAAAGATAAATGTTTGTCCGCACGCACCGACGGAGAGAAGGAAAAAAAAGAGAATTGGCTGCCTGCGGATAAACTCGACGTAATCTTGTTAAGCAGAGATCGTAAAGTTCGGACCAAGTTTGGCAAAATTGCATGCAAAACTTTGGCGGGAAAAAATAACGCCGAGTCAGTTTTGGGATAAAAGTGGTTAATTCCTCTTCGGCCATTAGTAGAGAGACGCTGACGACGCAGAATTAAAACTTTCAGCACCTCTCGAAAACAAAAGTGGCAATTAATCACCAGGACAATTCAACCGACGTAATTAATGAACTCGTACATGCAGACAATGCTTCCTAATTCATGAACCCTTTTTTATTTCGCTCTGGGCGAGTTTTGTTGTTTGGGCCGTGTGAACATCACGGAAATTAGCGCCTTCTGCTTCGCACTAAATGTGGGTGCAAAAAAAGTTGCCCGGAGCAAAACGTACGTGTATATTTATATTCTTCTCGCGACCTCATCATTAAATCTACATTAGCAAGCAATGTTGATGAGAATTCTGCACGTGCTGCTAGCCGCAAGCATTAGTGGTGTGTATGAGGCGCGAACGTGAATAATAATTGTTGGGCGCGTTATTGCATTTGATAAAGTGAAAATAGTAACGAGGAGCTAAATAGCAATTATGCACAGGTTTCGCTCATTAGGGCTTTTGTTACAAGCGCTTTGCTTGGTTGTTAAAGCAAAAGGCAGTCTTGTGGTGTAAATTTCTTAGCTTGCTAGCAAAATAAATAAAACCATTAAAATCATAGTATTTCACTCGATTCTTCAATCTAAATCAAATTTAGCCATCAGAAAAAGCAGAATTGGGTCAATTGTAATTATAAATAAATGACGCTTAGCATCGTAGAATTTACAAAAGTATTATTATTTTTTAAGTTTAATAAAAAGAAAAAGAATAAATGAAAGAGAAGTCAAAACCCGATGCAATATCAATTTAAAATCGAATCATATATATTTTGCCAAAATTAGTGCCGATAATTGTTCAACCTCTTATAATCCGCTATTGACATATCAGTGAACCGTAATTTCAACAGCACACATAACTTAAATTAAAATTCAAGCTTGAAATTGCTGTAATAAAGTTATCTATAGAAATAATACCGTCCAGAAAATCAAGTTACGTTTATAGCCAAGTTAAGGGATCTAATTTTGGCTGAAATGCATTTAAAGATTAATTTAAGTTTAATTTAAAATTTATTGTTCTTAAAATATCATTGGACTCTAATGATGCATGAAAATAACTGATAGAAAACATGATCTCATTTAAAATATTTGATCTTTGTTTAAAATCTATAATTATAGAGCCAACACAAAATTTTCCAATCAATCAATCCACACGTGTGCAAAACATACAAAAAAAACATACACAAAAATCTTGCACTTGAATTATTGTCCAAAATTTAGACTGATATATAATCAGCAAATATAAATTTATGATTTCGTTTTATAATTTTTCTAATTAAAAAATTGCATTCAATATCTTTGTTTTCACATATTGAATTTAAGAAAGCGGTATGTAATTTTACTACCAAGTGAAAATTGCAAAATCAGACCACCATTGTCTTGGCATGCAAGAGTAGAGAGGCTTAAGATAAGTTCGCACCAGCCGTGCAAACCAACTTATTTAGCTTTAGAGCGCAAGCCGTATCGTTATTCTGAGCCATTGCACCTTGTTTCTTGCTTTTCTTCTTTTCACGCGTCCGTGATTGCGCACCATCTCTCTTTTACGGCACACCGCTTTTTACCCTTCCACAAGAGGGATTTCTTCTTTTTCTCCCTTGCAAGCCTCTGAATAAGAATGGCTCTCGTTTGGTGTTGCAGGATTACGAGGTGGACCTCTACTTGCGGCAAAAGTGGCAAGACGAACGGCTCAAGCACGCTGAAATCACCGAGTCGCTCGACTTGAATGACCCCAATCTGGTGAAAGCCATCTGGAAGCCCGAGGTGTACTTTCCGAACGCGAAACACGCCGAGTTCCAGTTCGTCACGGTGCCCAACGTCCTAGTCCGAATCAACCCCGACGGCGAAATTCTCTACATGCTCAGGTCAGTTTTCCATGCAAACGAGTGTATTTTCAGCTGGAGCGAGGAACCAATTTTCTTCCTCTGACGTCGGCATCTTTTTGGAATGGAATATTTATAAACTCGTGGGTTCTGCGAATAAGGACGAGACACCTCTTTTGTGTAGCAACTCTTCTTTCCGTCTTCTCTTTCTAGTTGGGATTGAATTTCAATGGAGATGATGGAGATCAGTTTTACATTTTGCATGAGCAAAAACGGCGTGGATCAAGTTCTGATTAATCTAGAAACAATTTCTCAAATCCAAGGAAATTAAGCAAAGCAATAATTTTTCTAGTCAAATTAATTACCCAAAGAAAGTTTTAAGCAGTGAGTCTCCAATGTATAATCCATGAACTAAATTTCATACAAATAATTATACCTGAACTTAATTATAAGAAACAATTTACTAAAAATACTTTGAATTCAAGTAAAGTTTAAATATTTTAATGTTTCTTTAACGCTGTTGATTCTGGTAACCAACGATTTTGTTTGAAAATTTTGTGAAATCTTCAACTATATATTTTTAGTCGGAAATATATCAGCAAAACTTAAAACACGTCTCGATAATTGCTATTTATTTGCACATTTTGTAAAATCTTCAACTATTTGTCTTTAGTCGGTATTAAATAGAAAAACTTAAAACACCTCTCTTCATTGAAAATTAGTTCATATTCAACTTTCATTAAAATTCGTTCAGTTATTCAAACTTAAAATACACTTTTTGTTTCTTAAAAAGTCTGCAAGAAATTTGCCTTGAGCTTCAGGCGTAGCCTCGTAATGAGTTTTGGAAATAAAGTGCTAACGGTTTCTCATTTTAGCAACGCGCATTATTGGTATTTCGTTAGAGCAGGAATGCCTGGAAAGAGAAGCGCAAATTGAAACGCTCAAAAATTTCCCAGAAGCAAGAGACGTAAATTTTTCACAGGGATTTACGAAGAAAAATCGCCGCGAGAAAGGAATGCCTGCGTGTCTCGTCTGGAAAATACGCTCGAGCCACAATCGGAGCTGAAAATTCCAGTCCCGTGTGTTAATGTTCTGAAACACGCTGATGCGGTTGCACCTCCTATGTTTTTTCCAGAATTCCTTAGATTTCCCGACGAGCACAAAGTGCCAGCCTTTAAAGGACGGCGAAAACAAAAGCAAATGCGCCTGAGGGTGCTTGCAGTTGGTTTAATTAAATTTATACCCGGCGCCTCGCTGGAAGTAATGTATAATTTCTCGCAGAAAGACAGGTATTTATCACGAGGGTAGCTACATGTCCCCCTGAGGAAGGGATGCAAAATGAAGCTCCTTGTATCTCTCCGAGGAGAAGCCGCTGCAATTTCCATTCAGGCTCTCGTCTTTCTCCAAAAGAAGCGTCTCGTGAAAATTATTTACACTTTTGCTGAGCCGTTTATCGATCTGCCGCAAGAACGACCTCCTCTCTCCATTCGCGCGAACAGAGAAGCCTCAAATTGATTTAGCAAGGCATAATTAGGGTTGAGGATTATAATTATTTTGCTTTTTTAATTTAAAACAAAAGTTATACCTCCTGGGCAGCTCTGTTTTGTATTTGAGCAACTTCACTTGTAATAGAATTAACTCTTGAACAAGAATTTTATTAATTCTACCCGATTCTACCTAAAATGTGTTTATTTGTTTACTTCAAATTAAAATGCTGTTTACTAATTGCACAAAAGAATTTTTAAAATTACCATGCATATCAAATTTAAAAGTTCTTAATAAAATAAAGGACTGGTTTTTAATTTGAAACTTTTTGTTCGTATTGTAAAAAAATCGTTTCCTAAGAACATTAAGAAATAAATAATTTTTTTGGATTTCACTAATAAAAAAAATTGCAGATAAAATCAGAAAAATAATTTGTAGTATTAATAATTGCTATACTCATGTTTCACATAAAAAGATAAATTTTAAAAATCCTATCAATTGATTTTATGTTAAATTTTAGGTGACGTAAAGTTGACTTCTAATAATTAATGATCGTTTTAAATATTGCAATAACTTCATCCTCATGGTCTAGTGAATATTTCTTTCAATGCTGATTATTTTAAATCGTAAACATTATAAAATAAATTTAAACTGCTTGATCTCTGAAATTTGATTATAATATTTCAGCCCAATGGTATAATGCATTTTACGGATGATCTATATAGAGAGCTTCATCTCATCTACGCTCTCACTCAACGACAATTAGTCAGCTCTCAACTTTTCCACTCTGGCGAAACTTCCTTCTCGTCACTTCGGAGAATCTGTGCCGCCGGTCGTTTAATGAAATTTGTACCAGGAACAAGTTTGCAGCACCCGGATAAAAATTGCCGTGGCTGTGTTGCATTATTGAACAGCCTCGGCCGCCAAACTTGGCAATTTACACAGCAGGAAGAGGTGTTTGCATCTTGAATAAATAACCGTTTTATAAAAGTTGTCTCAGTATAACGCAATTTAGGGAATAAAATAAATCCAACCAACTTTGTAATTTCCTCCTCCTGTTCCGATTGTTACAGACTGAAATTAACGTTTTCCTGCATGATGGATCTGAGCAAGTTTCCGCTCGACTCGCAAGTCTGCACCATGGAGGTCGCCAGTTGTAAGTTCACAGACTTTTTTTGCAATTAATTTGGCAAAATCGAAATTGCTCTTTCCGATTGGATGATCGACTTGATTACAATTCAGGCAAATCTGTCCATTCGCGTTATTTAAATTGTTTATCAAAATTTGATATTAATTCGAAGTAAATGTGAATCAGCAGCCTTTCAGTTATTATGGAAATTAGTCAAATGGAATGAGCAGGAAGGTTATCACAATCAAATCGTAATTATGTTTCGCATGCCGCGTGGGCAGGTAGAAATCAGAGATGTTGACAAAAATGGTTTCCATAATAATTGAGATTTAATCTAATTAAAATTATTATTAGTACACAGCATTCATTACCAAATTTCAATAGACATCCAATTATATACTTAATTAACACAGAAGTTTAATGTTCTAATTAATTTCAATTGTGTTTAAATATTATTTATAAAACAAAAACAAGAAATTAGTGTTGTTTTATGAAATTAACAAATTGAAACAATAAAATAGTTTAATTTTTTTATCCAATTTTTTTTCTCATTATTTGTTGATTATTTTTATAAATTACTGCACCTCTAACTAAATTTTGCGCTATGAAATTTTTTCACAAAATTAAAAAAAAATCTTCATTTTCACAGTTTCGAAAACGATAGAGGAACTGAAGCTTGAGTGGAAAGCAGAGAAACCAATTATCATGGGCAAAGGGTTGCGGATGCCGCAATTTGAAATCGTTCGGATCCTCTCGTCCAACTGCCAGGAGTCGTTTCAGATCGGTAAGGAGAGGAAAAAAGGCTTTGCTTGTCTTTCACACGCACTCGCCACTTTCGCACACCGAGCCGAGAACGAAACGTACGGTCGAGTGAATTTCCTCTTTGTCGGCAGGAAATTACTCTTGTCTGGTCGCCGAATTCTACTTGAGTCGCTCCGTCGGGTTCCATCTGGTGCAGAGTTACCTGCCGACGATTCTCATCGTCGTCATCTCGTGGGTTTCCTTCTGGATGGACGTCAACTCGGTGCCTGGACGCACGACGCTTGGTGTGACCACCCTTTTGGCGGTCAGCTCTCAATCCTCAGGTACGTTGAAATTTCTTGCCTTGAGAATATCTATGAAAATGACTTCATTTTATTTGGTTTTATGGTGCCCTTTTAAGTTGAAATTAAAAAAATATTAATAAATTATATTGAATTTCAATTATTTTAAAAACAAACAATTTTAAGTTTTTTTAAGACATTTTTTTAGACATTTTTCAATACACAAGTAGATTAAATTTTTAAAATTTGTGTTAATATTTATGTGATGGCTCATATTTAAAAAAAATCAAAATTAAAAAATTTTAATTTTGAAATAAAATTACTTCTCACTACTGCCACATGTAACACAGAAAAAATGGAAACAAAATAAAATTACGAATTTCTTTTAGTCTTAGAATTAACAGTTCAATGTCCCCTATCTTATTTTTCTGAAAAAGCCAAACGATTTTAGATCTCGCATACTTTGGGCCAGAATTTTAAATTATCCGTTTTTCGCAATTAATAGAAAAGGAAATTATAGAAAAAAGAACTATATTTTCACTAGTCTATAAAATTTTAACGAACCTTTTTAGATTTAAGTCTACATGGTGAAGAAATGAAATTAAATTTACTTAAAATGTGATTTTATTTTAAAGGTTCTGTTTTTAAAATTTTTGGTTTTGTGAATGAAGCTTCGGGGCATCTCTAATTAATGTTCAAGTCAAGTTTTCATTTTCGGTGTTGCAGGCATCCAGAGCGGACTGCCGCAGGTCAGCTACGTTAAAGCCATCGACGTATGGATGGGCACGTGCACAGGTTAGAAATGACGCTAATCCACCCACCGTATTATTTCCACTCTGCTGACAGTTTCTATCGCAGATCACGTCCAGCCGGCTTTTGCCTCTTAGGCCGAATGAAATTCCAAAATGCTCCTTCCGGCTTCATTTCAGCCCCAGGAGAGATTATCTTGGCATGAGCCATCATCTTATTATTTTCGGTCGAGAAGCGAAAGTAGGCAACTGGCTGGACGTACCTGCTTTGCGGGTCTGCATGCAACTTGAAATTTGTTCTAATGGACTCGTAAATGTTGGAGAAAGGGATGATGCGCAGTTTAGACTTTAGAAATTCAATTATTTCTTATAAAAATGTTGAGGATATTCTAGAGGCTTAATTAATTATTTTTGGCCCAAAATTGACGTTATTATGTTTCCCCCGGCCAAAGCCATTGCTTCATCTTAACTTATGGTTAATGGCTTGGGAAACTTTGAAAGTTAATAACTCTGTCAATTTTAATCCAAAGATTTAAAGTTTGAATGATAACTGAATTTTTTAACTTTGAAGGTTCCCATGACTGAATTATTAACCAAAAGGATATTAATTTTATTGAACTTTTACTTATGTTATGTTGTAAATTGTGAGTTCACCATGATCGTGTTTGTTGGTGAATTTGAAGATTACTGCTGCCATCATTTCCACTCTCAAAACTACTCTCGTACTCTCCAACTTTTCACTTTCGCCAACTTTTCCACCTCCCGCGGCGTTCTGCACGGCTAGTTGAGTCGCGCACGTGTGTATCCGGAATGGAATTCCGGTAGTCAGTGTGTTTGCATTTGACGTGATTGTGTGTTTTCTCATGTTTGCCGCAGCCTTTGTCTTCTGCGCCCTGCTCGAGTTCACCCTGGTCAACTACATGTGGCGCAAGCAGCCCAGCTCGCGGTCGCAAAGCGCCCCGCGCGGCTCCATCATGAATGGGGAGGCGCTCACCAGGTCCGCGTCGGCGGGACTGATCCGCCGCACTGCTCAAGAGACGGTGAGTTCCATAATACCCACGGTGAACAATGGATTTTCGCTGTGCCTTTTGTCTAGCAATAAAAACTATTGCAATCATGTCGGTCAGTAAAATAAATAAACTTAGATAACATTTATTGGTATAATTCTACATAAATAGTTATTGTGTTCGGTCTGTTTAGAAAAATTTTTGGAAATCGTCCCGTTTGTCCGCGTGCCCTCGCGGCCCCCAAAATTTCAATTATGCAGTACCAACCCTAAACTTCTGCCTAAGACCTTACGCTTCTTCAATAAAGTAAAAAAAAAAAATCAAATTATAAAAGTATTTCAAACTTTTGCTTCCTTTTTTAAGAAATGTGATTGAAATTTTTTATTTAAATAATTATATTCGAAAAGTTATTTCTCATCATCATCACCTAAGCAATGTAGGTAAGTGACAGACTAAAGGCATATAAGTCAATCACATAAGAAAAGCCTTTTCTAAAATTTGAATTTAATTTTGAAAGATTTTTAATGTAAGCTAATTTGAAAAAGTCATACAATCATAAGATTTGTTGGTACCTAAGTAGATTTAATTAAATGCTGTAATGCAAAAAAAAAACGGAAAAATTTAATAATTCCCATATATGTCAAATTTATCATTGTCAACATTGTCAATTTTTTTTACAAAAATTATGTAATAATTTTTTTCTGAGCCATTTTAGTTATTTGTCACATTCTTTTTAAATTGAGAAAATAGAAATTAATACCCTGGCAAAATATAATTTTAAAAATCAATCCTCTGAAAATATTTCTTTCGCTATAACATGATCATATTATTCTCCTCATTCAAAGCCATTTAAAGGCGCCTGAAGGGAAAACATCCCGCAGACATATTTCCTCTCGCTATCTAGCCCATTTTACTATTTTGCGGAGTCAGCGGCACAATGGAGAAATATATGCTTTTCTTTTCAACTCTGGCAATGCGGCACAGACATTGAAAGCAATTTTCTTGCTTATTGAATTGCAGAAGATGTGCACCAGCACCGAGGTTGGCATCGCCAGCGCCGGCTTCGAGACCAGACCGTGCAGAAACGCTCAGAACGTTAAGAGGGTAGGTAATTTTCTTGCTGATAATCGCCCGCATGATGCCGCATTTTCCGCCAGAGTGCTAAAATGGCTTTTCTCTGTATGTTCAGACAGACCACATAATTATTGCAGATAAAGAAAATGAATGAGTCTGAAAACTAAAAATTAATCGATATTTTTCATGTGCTTCAAGAAATACTGCATGGTAAATTTAATTAATTTGTTTTATAATTTCATTAGTTCATCAAATTTATTCAAATATTTTACTTAGAGACTAGTATAAAAGTCTTTATTTGGAAAAAAATTAGCTACAGATAAAGAAAGAACTCGATTTTTCACAATTATGGTAACAATTGATGATTGAGCAGGGAAGAATGAAAATTGCAAATTATCAAGCAGACCTTACAACAAGTCGAATAATTTTATATCATTATTTTAGTTAATTTATCTATTCCAGTTAATTTAGTTCATCGCTTCTCTTTCTAGATCGAACGGTTATTGTAGCGTGAATAATTATTTGCTTAAAACCTGCTTAATTAAAGTTACAACACCAGAATGAAAACATTATTTTGTAAATGAAAATCAGTAATAATCCAATAAATTTTTTATATAACAATTTTTATATAACTTTTGTAGATTCAAAAATAATTTTTAACTCATATTGTTTCCGGTAAATAATTTTAATTAAACGCCGGTCTTTATTATTTTTCCAATAACCATATTGGGGGTTAATGGTGATCCATGACCATAATTATTCTCGCCAGCAGCTGATGTGCGACCGTAATTACAAGTCTGTCGTCATTTTAACCCCATTTGTGCCAACCCTCCCGGACCTCACGCAGTTCCGGGCTCGTAAACCGATCCTGTCCCCGGTCGCACTACTTCCTCCTCGTTTACTTATGCGTCTAACGTGTGTGGTGTAAACACGAGCGGATGATTTAATTTCAGCAGCGGCAGTCGCAGCAGAAATTGGCCCGGAAAATTGACGAGAGGGCCCGGCTGGCGTTCCCAGTTGCGTTCGCCCTCTTCAACGTCTCTTACTGGCTCTACTACTTGAAGTAAAAGCATCCCCGAATTTGGGTCCGTAATCATGCTTACGCTGGCTTGATTACATATACATACATACGCAAATCAAGCGGCGCCGCTGAATAATTGATGAAGCGCAAGATGAGCTGCGGAAGCTTGAATGTTCCTAAAACAAACACGACACGAACATGCAGACGCGCACGGCAAAGCTTACAAGCCAAAAGTTATAAACCACCCCTCTCACCGATAATTACATTTGTAATCACAACTTCATGAAATAGAAACTCATCACTTGTTCTATGCAAATTTGATCAAATTCATGGCAATAGAATATTGACTATTATTGCATCCATTATTGTTCATTCTAGTCTTCATTAAAAAGTAGTTGATAGAATATGGAAAATACGCAGAAAAGATGATTATTTTTCATTTTTTTTATTATTGTTAAATTTTATTTTGGAAAAATTGGCGAGGTTAAAAATTGGTGGCTAAAATAATTATAAATTTATTTCCTATAATCCGCTATAATCCATATTAAAATTTTTTGGTTTACAATTCACAATTCATTTTAGGTCACAACTGAAAAAGAATCCCATCATTTAATCAATAATTGATGAATTTGAGATAAAATTTAATTTTTGACAAGGTGCAAAAGGTGTTGTCACTCTGTCGAATCAAGACTACAACAATGGAGGTTTATAATTCTTACCATATAATAATATCACTTAAAGGCAAAGCTTTTATTTCTTCTGTTGCCATTAATTAAATAATCAGATGATGAATATCATTAATTGCCGTGCAGTATACTCATTTTATTATTTATTATAATGATTTTTTGACACGAATACCGAGAAGAATAAATAATAAAGATAAATAATAAAAAATAACAATAATAAACACCAATTTTTCCCAACAATCTCCTCTGTCTGGTTATTAGTGTTCCAATTAAAAGTTGTTTTTTGCTTAACTCCTACTTGTAAATGAAGAAAACTTTTATTTCCTGCATTTAATTAATTCTTAATAAACGACGAAATTAATATAGAACAAGTTGCCAAGCAAATATGACACGCCATGGTACGCTCAAAACTAATTTACAACATGATCTCGTCATGAATAATTATAACGCACCGATGAAACCAAGCAAATTTCCACCTGCGGCTGGATCGAGCTCACCACTTTGTTATGATTGGTTCTTGTAACACATAAAGCTCCCATGGTTTGGTCTATCAAAACAAAATTCCAAGCGTTTTGAACCCACTGGTTAATGCGGCGTGGAGAATTTTTGTTTTGACAATATATTTTAAATATTTCATTTTAATCAGTGGTACCGTTTTTGCTAATTTTGAAACTCATCGTTGTAAATAGTTTCCTATATTATGTGATGTTGATGTGCACTTTTGATCCACTATGGGCACGTTTTATTCTGAGAATCTCGGTGTAATTAAAAGAGCCAATATATGTGACTTTGTTTAATAAAGTAATCATGGAGTTTGGCAGAATTTATAAAGTTTGTTAAAAATGATATTTAAAATAATACTTAATCCAATCAAAAAAATCGGTCTGATAGGCTAAACAATTTAATTTTAAGAATTTGGAATTTATCTAATTAGTGAAGTAAACAATGTCCAATGAGACCAAGTATATGAATTGGATTCTTTTGGCTGTCGAATTTTCAGATTCAAAGATGACGATGAAAAAATTAAGCAAACCAAATTTTTTTTCACTATCAACTTTTATAGTCTAGTTTTAAGATAACAAATATTTTTATTTTGTTTAAATAATCTCTTTAAAAAGACTTATTTTACTATAGCATACACGGACGCAATTGCTAAAATAATGCAGATATTACAGAAAGTTTTGATTAATTCTAAAGCCGTTTTAAAAAGGTAGATTGAGCTAAATCATTATTGAAGTTAGCCTGTGGAATATAAGAACTTAATAGTATAATTTTTTTTCTTAAAAAGTGGAATCGAACGGTTAAGTAGCTTTAAAATAGTTGTAAAAAATGAAACGCAGCTGTGAAGCTGCGCATTTGATTGTCAATCGTATGTAAAATTCTAAATGTACATTTAAAATAAATTCATTCGTATTTTTCAAGTTCCAGTTGTTTGCTGTTCACATGAATCATGATTTTCCTAGAGGGAAATCCAAGAAAAATGTTAAGTATCATATATCAAGTGTGGATTAAAAGCAACATGACGTTGTTAAAAAATGTGAAAAAGATAAGTGGATCCAGAGATTATCGAGAGATATAATTATTGTTACATTTGGCTGAGAATTGAATGAAAGGAAAACTTTTTGAGAGCAGGAGATAATTTAATTAGTGAAGTGTATCAAGCAATGAGATGTTTAATTAATTCTAATAATTATTAACTTCATTAATATGAAATCCAAAATATGTTTTTCCAATTTTTAATTATTTTTATATAAAAAGAAGAGAGCCTTTCACTATCTCTAGGCCAATTTATACACGAAAATAATTTTAAATGATTTAAATGATAAAAATCCATGAAATGGGAACTGGAATTAAATATACACAATTTATAATAGTTGTGATTATATTTTGAAGTTTTAAAAGCCATAAAAAAAATAAATGTTTTGTGTATCTCACAATAATCCTTGCATTTTTATTTCGCAATTTTATATATAGTCCGACGGAAAACTTGTCATATAGGATTTTCAGCGCCATCAACAATAAAGTTATCCGTGAATGATACACATGTCTCTCAACATCAACCCCGATTTTCCTCCTGCTCGATTTATAGCCTGTCGGCCTAATCCCTGTCAGATTTCACTGAAACAAAACAAAGTCCCCAAAGACTGCTTGCTTTGTCTGCCTTTGAAGGAAGTGGAGAGCTTCCTTGGGGGGCAAACACTTTCGGATCCATCCCAATAACTCTTCCGCCCATCAAGTTCTATTCCAAGTGACAGATTGTGGAGCTCGGCATGTGTATGTTGCTGTCAGCGCCGGCAACGTTTGCTCTCTCGAAATTGGCTTGCAAGAGCGATGAAACTGTTTTGTGTCGGAACACCTCTTGCTCAGGAATCGAAAACTTCCCGAAGCTGCGGCGACTGGCAATTTAGTGCGGTTTCCCTACGTTCAGACCTTTCTTGGACCCGAAGCCGCTATTAATATTATTGCATGCCAAGTTACACGATTGTTTCGCTTTTGTTTGGGCGGAAATAAAAATCGTTTTGCACTTGAAAGCTTCTCGCTGCCGGCTGGCAGCAAATGAGAGAAAGCAAGCGGGGAGTGCTCTGGTTATTAATTTGATTTTCTGTTGCGACCCTTTGTTTGAGAAACTTTACAAAAGCAGCGGCGCCTGCCTGTTGCTCACAGGTTTCTGCCGCTCTTTGTGAAATAAATAATTGAGTTTGGCCTACACAATTTTTCTTTTTGTTTGTTAGCAAAGCGCTCTTTCAAAATTTTTCTTTCTTTCAAGACCCATTGAAATATTAATAAAAAAAAGAACAGTTTTAACACAGTTCAAAAAGGTTTAAGGTTAATTAAAATTAATTCAAGAAAGATTTCAGACAATTATCAGGTAAGAATGTTGTGTACGTGTTTTTATTAATATTACACATTTTGACATTGTAACATGGGCTGGGCTAGATAGTTCGAAGGCGGTAATTTTGAGGTATTAATTAGAATACTGAGATCATTGCAGGTCAGTACATGACCTCGTACACCGTCGCCTTTTTGTCTCCTGAGCCTGTCACTATGTATTTGTCATCTGCTGATATATCACAACTCAGCACCGACGACGATTCCTTTGACTGCAACAAAAATGAGTTTATTAGTTTATTAAAACATAAAAATCAGATTAATTTTAATATACAAATGTATATCCTTAAAATTTGGATCCATTTGAACTTTAAATGTGCAATGAGCAAAAGCTTACTTGGAAAATAGAGGCTCCATAGGGTGTCCTCCAAGCGTTAAGCAGGTTGTCCTTGCCGGTGCTGACGAACCATTTGCCGCAAGCAGCAAACTTCAGGGATAACACACAGCTTTCGTGTAGATGCAGTTGGTACTTGTCAGGCTTGTTACAGTGCAGCACCTCGACGTTGGAGTTCTCCATGCCGACGGCGAGCCACTCGCCAGTGGGACAGTAGCCGAGTGAGAAGATCTGCGAAGTGAAGTCGTGCTGTTGCAGCTGTCGACCTTCTCGAAGGTCCCACGACCGCACCGTGTTGTCTAGACCACCTGTAATTGACAAATAAATTGTTTTATAAAAATATTCCTCTAAAAAAATTATAATATGAATTAGTACCATTTTAGAAATATAAATTAATGAAAAATTTAAAAATTACCTGTCCAGAGTTTTGTTCCGTCTGCGGAAATGTCAATACAACTGGCACCATCTGTGTGTCCCTGGAACTGTCTGACCAGGGTTTGGTTCTGCAAGTCCCAGACGGCAATATTTCCGTCACTGCAGCAGCTGAAGCACACCTGAGACAATTTTGAAATTTATAAGCTGCAAAATTAACTTTTTTAAAGTTGTTACCTTTGAGTCGGGGCTGATAGCCAAGGCGTAGCACGCAGGAGCACTGGAAGTAAGTTCGGCCTTAATTCTAGGAGTAGGAGAGGCCAAGTCCCATATGGAAAGGTTGCTGGCCTCGCCACCTACGATCAGGGTCCTTCCGTCAGGGAGGAGCTTCACAGATCGAATGTAGTTGTCCCTTTGCTGAAATTGATATATGGAGTTGTTAATTACATTAATCACAATGCAATTTGATAAAAATTTGTTTATTAACGTTAAAGTCTATTTCTATTTAAAACACTGAAGAATATTTTGGAGAGAGATGAAGCTAATATTTTACTAGAGATCATTATAATCAATTAAGAACTGGATGCAAACATTATAAAAATTAATATAAAATATAATTTATAAATAAAAATGAGAGAAAAATATAATTTTAACACAATATAAAAAGATATGAAATATTTTATCTATTATTTTAAAAAAAATATTTATAAATAAAATTTATTAATTTACTCTTTAATTTCATATAAGTAATAAAACAAATTATACACTTAAATATATTTGTGTTATTAACATGAGCAATTATTTGAATCTACTTACTAAGCAGTCAAGCTGAGAAACTGGGCTTTTGTTGCCAGGTTGGCTGATGTCCCACACCTTGACGCAGCCCTTGCCGCCGGTGTAGACATACTTGGTGGGGTTGCTGATGGTGACGGCGCACACGACCTCACCGTGGGTCAAAGTGTTTATTTGCCGAGCGTGTCTCGGAATCCCAGGCCCCATAAGGGCATCGGGAGGAAAGGGCACCGGCTGCATCTGGCCGTCGGCGCTCACATGGAATGAGTAGGCCGGCTTGCCTCCAGGGATGCCGCCCAGGCCAGGGCCCAGGGGCGCCCGCATCTGGGGATGAGGGTCAAAGCCGACCTGAATCAGGAGGGACGATTAGTAGCTCGGCAGAGGTTTCGAAAGTGTTGACTAACTTTCTCGGTCCAAATTTTTTTAGGCTTTTTGAATGATTGATTGAGTAATTGAAAGACTTGACTTTTTTAAGAAAGGAGAATTGTTTTGGATTGCTTTTATTTTTGAACTAGTTTACATGGAGTATTCATTTAATCTCTTCAACTGCATTGTTCGGTAGAAATCTATGGCCCCGAACTAAAAACAAGGGAATAAGCGTGTATTGAAGAGTTTCAAGGCAGTTTTTGTGATAATTTTTTTTTGTATTTATATATAAATGCAGGAAAAGTATATTTTCTAAGGTAAGAAAATCTCAACTTACGATCGGAGGTCGCTGGTAGTTGTTGAGAGAGGGTGGCAGATTGTTCAAGTGAGCACCATAGGCGCCGGGCTGCAGTTCATGCGGAGCTGCCCCTGCTAGGTATGGAGGATATTGGCCTGTTGGATTCCAAATCCAATTTGAGTCCAAATAGGTCAATTGGTTTTCAAAATCATTACCCAAAGGTGGCGGTTTGACGATGGGCTTGAGGCCACTGCCCCCTGCAGCACTGCTGCCACTGCCACCGCTCGTCGGAGTCACCGATTTGGAAATAGGGGTAGTTGGCTTCTCGCCGTCCAGTTTCTTGGTCGAGGGGGTGCTGGCATTTGAGCTGGTGCCACTTCGAGGACTGCAAATTGAAAGAAAATAATTAGAATTTTTGTTTCAAAATTGGCTTTCATTATAATTATTAGAAGGAATTTTTTTTAAGGAACAATAAAAATTTGAAGCATTATCACAGTTACCATTTAAAAGCTTAAAATAAATTGATAAATAATGTCAATGTGCTGAAATGTGCTGAAAGTGATGGACAATTGATCTAACTCGAATTAGTTTGTAGCAACCAGATTAATATGGAAAAAAGTACTTGTGACATTTAAAATCAGTTTTAAAAATTAACCTAATTTATTTTTCCAAAAATTTGGAACCATTGCAAAGTTTAAATCAGTTTTAAGGTAACTTTAACTTAACTTAAATTGAAATAAATTTTAAAAACACATTTAAACAAAACAAATTTTTGCTTCAATATTTCCCAATATCATTTTATTTAAAATTTATATTTGAAAGAAATTTCAACCCAAATTCAGTGGATTTCAATTTTAATCAAACTTATTGAGTAATATTTTTCGTTAGATGACCACATTTACAATTCAACTTTAGATTCTGGTTAAAACGCATTAAATTTATCTCAGTGCCCTCATCTATACTGTTTTTGTGGTAAAACGAATTGTAAATCACAAATCAGTCATGCAACCAACGTGCTTTTAGATTTGGATCAATTATTCCATTGCTGCGGTAAATTTCGAGGTAATATTTATCCACAATTACAAAGCAATTTGTTCTTTTCATTTGACTCTGCGCTCATTATTGCTCCAAATCGGGAGCGGAATGCAACACAATTACCCGCAGCGCGGAATGTAGCGCAATGTTGAATTAATTACCTGTGCGGTCCAACGTGCTCCTTTTTAGGCGCTAATTTGTCCAGACCATTTTCCCGAGGAGAGGCGGTGCCGTTTGGGGGTGACACGGGGTCTTCACTTGCGTCGTCAACGACCAAGTCCTGGTCGCTTTTTTCCCCATCACTCGCCTGCAGAAAAAGGTGATATTTATAAAATCATAAAATCTCCAATAAATTGAAAACTCACATGGCAGTCTTTCTCCTCTTTTTTAACTTTCTTGTGTTCGACCTCTGGTGGGCTTCTCGGCCGGTACTTTTCCCTCTCGGCCGGGGAAATTGAATTGCGCTGCAACAGCAGAATTACCATAAATTTTATGTCATCCTTTTTCAATGGAATGTTTCAACCGTTCTCGCGTGGTTAGTGTGAAAAAAAATGAAAGCTGTTGGGAAGCGGAGACAAATCACATTTGAGTAGCAGTTTCACGGCGGCGGTATTTGAATAACAAAAGGCGCGCAGTAATGAGAAGAGGCCCCTGCCTGCTCTTGGCGGAGGGTCCTTGTTAGTGCCATTCTATATCACGGGGAGGGTTTGCTCCTTACACGCATTGAGTGCAAAGGGGGATCAAACGGAATGGGATATACTAGTGTGTATATGGGGAAGAGCTGGCGGCTGCTGACTATTCACCTATAATAAAAACGCCGCTCGGCGCACAACAGATTAAAATTTTATTAGCCTTTCACAACAACTGCGCCGCTGGGGGAGAAAATGAGGGATCGCGAATGGCACAGGAGCGGCGTCAGCCTTTTCCGAGCATCCCCCTCTTGGCATTTATTTGGCCGAGTGTGTAAATTGAATGCAGCCGCAGCCGTAAAAAAATGACTCAATCAAAAATCAGCGCCGGCTTATGGGAACGATTTTTATTTCTTTCTTCTCCCCGGTTGGTTGTTATTATTATTATCATCATCTTTTTTGTTCATTCGGAAATCCGCGTGGCGAATTGAAGCCGCGGTCGTTACAAGTACTGCCTCCATTAGACTGCTTTGTGTGTAATTAGCGCGCAGCAGCACTACTTGTTGATTACGGCCGCTCGCGTCGGCACAGAGTTAGCAAATTAAAGTCGTCTGCGGCGGATTAAGGGCCGGCAGCCGCGCGCACGGCTAATCCCCAGCATGCCCAACAACAAACAATCAATTTCGCGCTCTCCGGGTGTGTGTGTTTGTGCGGTGAATGCAAGTCAGTGTAAAGAATAAGAGAATACTCACATGTCGTTCCTCGGCGCCTGGAAGACCGGCTGTGGTTGGCGAAATTTTCAATTTGGCGGAAATGGTGAACAAGACCAACGGATGAGCCAAAGGAGGTGCGGGAAAAGAGAAACAAAGAATATTACATTAGTTATTTTATTTAAAAGGTTTCAATATTTAGCACAGTTTTTATTTTCATAGATTTGTTAAAGACGATTATAAATTAAGATCCGTAACAAGTCCATTATAAATTGTGAGCCTTAATTTCAATTGCTTATTAATTCAATATTAATAATTAATAATAATTGAACATTATTATCATACGCAAAAGGCGTGCGAAAAGAATTGATTTCAGGAATTGACATATAAATGATATTATTGCTCTTGGAAAATATATTTTTTATTTTATAAAAGTAAGTTGTGCTGAAATCTCTGCTTTTGTGTTTATAATTTGTAAACGAAAGACAATTATTTGCTTTAAATTGACAATAGTATAATATATTAAAAATAATAATAAAATAAATATAATATATTTAAATTTATATAAATAATATTTTTATAACAAATGTTTTTAATTTTTTAAATTTAATTTATTTTGGCAGATGAGCAGTACCTATGAATAAATGAAACTGGAGTGATATTTGACACGAGTCGCGAATTCACGCTGTTAATCCTCTCTTTCCCTTAATAACACTTATCACTTATGGGCGCAATCACGAGAGCGATCAACTCGAAAAAAATCGCACTATATCTGGCAAGCTCGAAATTAGCGCGTCCTCCCTCGCCGGCAGCCACCCGCCGCCACCCCTTCACCCCTGTGGCTCTCTCTCTCTCGCTCACCCCCGTCGTCGTCGAGCCAACCGACAACTTTTATTTGACAGCGGAATTAAAAGCGTTTCCACCCTCGGAGGGAGGCATAATTTGCGTTCGCTTATTACGGCGGCAGACTCACTCGCCCCCAGAGCGTATCTTTATTTGGTTGATTAAACATGCAGTGGCTTTACATGCCCTTAAGGGTGTTATACACGGCTGTTTTTGCATCCCCCAAATCAGCACTCGCACTTATTGGGGAGGCGGCTGCCGCTCCCCTCGAGCTCTGATATAAATATGGCTGCTGCTGCAGCTGCCTGCCGCCGTCCAATAAAAAATTCCGCCCTTGTTTCAATCCCTGCGAGGCCTCAGCGCACCACCCCAGCCCTCTCACTCACTCACTCTCTCACTTGTATTTTAACAGCTTTTTCTGCTAAAGTAATACAGCATGAATACAGAATGGGTGTGTGTGTGTGTGTATTTTCATCCCCCTCGGCTCGCCCTCCCGTCTGCCTGCCTTGCTTTATATTTCCATTCAAATTATTCAAGTGTTAAGTTTGCTCTCGGTGCTGCTGCGCGAACAAAATTCTTTCCTCCTCGGCGTCCCCTCTCGCACTGCATTTAGAGCCACTCAATAAACTCATTAGCATTTTATAAACAATCGCATTAACTTTCGGCGCGGTTCGGCCATGCGTGCAAATCGCGCCGAGTGGTGCTCACTAATTAATTATCCATCGCGCCCGCGATTTCGCCGATGAATGAACGCGAGCGCCGCGCGCGTGTGTTGATTAAAATATTGTCCGCGCAGCCAAATTGGAAAATCCGTTCCGCACGCGAGAGTAAATAATCGCTGCATCGTTTCCAAATTGCTATATATATTTATTTGCCCAGCGTTAATAAACACTCTGATTGTGTGAGCTAAAAAAAATAATCATAACAGGAGAAAATTTTGTTTTACCATTATTAAAAAATTATATCTTTATTGATGACAGATTTAGTGAAGATTAAAATTTACCAAAGTCAATTTTGTTGGTTGTAATTTGTGATAAAAATTCTTTTCACACTTCAAATATTTTAAAATTTCCGATCCATCAAGAGGTCTAGATAAGAGATAAGAAAATAACACTTGCACCACTTCAGATTTTCTAATTACTAGCAAGAGTTTAGAATATTAAGTTTTTTTCAATCAATTAATAGAAAGTAAAAGTTATCTTTTCAAAATTTTAAAAAAATTAAAACTATTTTGTTTTTGGAGAACAATGAACAAAAAGGTTTATAGCATACATTAAACACTCAGGCAGGAAGCATGTCTATGCGCGGCTCATTTGGAATCGTTTCAAATTATTCCGGTCGGCCTATATTTCCCGATGTAGGTTGCAACAACGCCGGGTTTTATCACAGCTTTTCCGGTTACTCAATGTCCATAAAATTTGTCACCATTTTATTCATTTATTGAATATTCAAAAATATCAATTCGAGCTTTTGGTGGTAAAAGTCAAAAGGTACTTGAAATAAAAAAAAGCGTGGGTGATAAAATTGCACCTCGTGAAAAGAACCGCGCGCGAAATCAGAAGCCGATTGAATCGCGGGGCATTAGCAGCCCTTTATCTACCTCTGCGGTCGGCACTTAGCGCCGCGCGGAACGTGACAAAATTTCAAATTACCGCGTGGCCGACGGGTGGGTGGGGTGTCACGGGGACGGCAGGGCGGGGGCAGATAAAATTCTCGTTTCTTTGAGCACTTGAGAGGACCCTTGGGTGAGTGAGAGCCTCTTTAATTCGGCTAGTGGAGGGCTCTCGAGTGGCGCACTCAGCCAGGGCCCTCTCAGCCGGCGACGGCGGGGGGTGCAACTGCCGCTTCAAGAGCCTCCGATGGCCTCACTTAGCACAACTTTTATACAATTCCGGCCGCCCCCACAATTTAATAAAACTCGCCCCGAGAGCAATTCGAAAAATTAATTAATTCCACATCGGCTCCGCTTTTTATCTCGTTTCCTGCTCTCGAGAGTCTTATCGCTGATGTCAGAAGCGATTGTCTTTCGTGTCCACTCGAAACTCATCAACATTTTTAACGTGTATATATTAATTTCATCCTTAATCCTTATCAATTCTAGAAAGAAAATTAAATATAGAACAAACAAAAAACACTCACCGCTGCTGGCTTTGACATCTTCTCGGTGGAGCTCAGGTTTGGCGCCCAGCATCGACAGCGGATGCGCCCCCGGCGCCCCGGAAAGGCCCGACAGGCCCAGCAGACTGGCGGCGCTCGACGGTGGCCCCGGGAGCCCCGGGTGGGGCATCATCGGAATAGGAGGCGCGTGGGCGGCGTGGGGCAACTGCTGCGCGTGCATTTGTTGCTGAAATCAGAGGATTCGGGGCTCAGACAAACAGCGTCGGGGGTTCATTACTTTTCGGGGGAGGTTCTGGGGGTTTACTTGATTTTCGACTTTGAGAAATGGAGAGAGAAAGTGAGGTGCGGTGAGTGCAAAAGGACTGTGCTCTAACGGAATACTAACCAATAAACGAGGAAGTTCAGAGCGCTGTTGCTGCAAAAAGAATTTGTCAGCTTTAAAAAATCAAAAGAACGGCGAGGAGGGCAACAGCAACGCGGGCATATGTATGTATGTATGTGAAATAATAGAAGAATAAATAGGCACTGTCCCTTAAACACTTTCAATGGGAGTAAAATATGTATAAATTGGCCCTCAAACAATAAAAAAAATTCGCGATCCAATGAAAAAAAAGACATATGGGGAAACTTAAAAAGCTCTTTGATTAATTTCTGTTAACAGATAATTTTTTTTATAAAATTCTATCAAAATCTTACATTTAGGAAGTTAAAAAGACGTTTAGAAGTTAAAAAGGATAACAATTTTCGAATATAATATAGTGAGAGCGTTGAAATTAATTAACAACTTATTCCGAAAGGGCTTTTCGAGACATTTAGTCAGCAGGTTAAAAACAAAGGGGGGGATTTCGGGCGGGGTGCGGAGATAATCTAATTACTCGTGCGCCATGCAAAAATTCGTATCCGGGGCCTGCGTTTCTCCTTGTCTCCGTAAATCAATTAAAAGAGAGGAGCTGGATGGTGTTAATTTGATTGCGAGAACGGGAACGAGGGTCCTAATGCCCCCCAACGCATGATTGGATACACTCTCTTCTTTTTCGCCCCGGCCAGCACTCTCTGCCGCCCTCTTTTTAAATATAGATTTCATTCGAGCGACGCAGAGAGTAATCCACCCCGGCAAACTCTGCTCGTCTCTGCTGCCAGATAAAATCACCCCCGGCTTAAATCGTCAGCTCCCCAGAGAGGTTTTGCATGGTTGACATTGCAATCCGCAGGGAGCGGCGGCTCTGTATGTGTGAGAGAATGCGAGCGAAGACAAGGAGAAAGAAGGGCTGTTAAATGACCAAGGGAAGGCGGTGGCAACGTGCTTACCCCAATGATTGCGTTCAGCTCTGTCATGGTGACTTGTTTTGCCCTGTCGACTGCAGTGGCTACTTGTTGTTGGTGCTGCAACCAGACGGACAAGGACGAAATTGATTAGTTCAGTTCGAAAGGCAGAACGGGCTGGACTTACCTCCTGAGAAAGAAATGGCAAGATCTGTGCGATGAGTGTGTTGAGACGTTTGGCAATTTCAGTCTGTAACAGAAATGTTTTGATTTGATTAAACAATTAATATCAAATTAATTCTTGTAATGCATTTTAAAGCTTTTTGTAGAAAAGTATTAAATCTCGATGCTTATCAAATATTTTTTATATTCCCCTCAAATCGGCACAGGATGTTACTTTAGTATAGAATTGATTTGTTTAACTTCCTACAAAAAATATTTTTGCAGTATTTTTGTATTTATTCACTATCAGTATTAACACTATCTTACAATTAATAAAATTTGAACACAGAATTTATTATGTCAATTTGAAAATAAACTTTATACCAATTTAAGTTTAATTTTATTTTAAAGTGTACTCAATTTCAATTTTAGCTGAATTAATTAAAGATTTCAAATTTCAAACAATCCAAGGAAAAAGAATGTAACTTTAGAAAATTTTAATTCTACTCAATTCCAACTGTTTAAATATTGAAAATTAATTAAAATAGAAGCACATGGACTCGTTAAAACTGAATAATTGTTATGAAATGTCAAACAAACTTATTATAAAAATTTAATTTTAAGATAAAAATATAAGAATATAAATTGTTAATGAAAACAAGAATATAATTTAAAATTATTATATATGAAGTGTTTTAAAAATAAATTTAAAGAATAAAAATATTATCATTTTTAATGTAAATAATAATTCCATTATACTAGTGGCGCTCCAAATTATAAAACGAGTCAGTTAAATAGCAAGATATAATTTTATTTTAAAATAATTGAAAAAAAAAAAACAATTAATATTTTCCCAAAAAAAATTTTTTTTTTTAAATTTTATGTAGTTAAAAACACCAAAACAAACCAAGATAATAATAATTCTAAAGCAGCCCATGTCCTCATTAATTTTCCACGTTTTAACGCCAATAACGATTTTTTTCCCACTCGCTAGCCGCGCCATGTGTCCGTGTTCGCACGTGCTCGAACAAAAACACAGCGTCCCCGATGTTGAGTGCGAGGGCAACATAGGTGTTAATCAATTTTGAAAAGGAGTCGCGGCGCGCGGGAATAAAATAATGCCTCTCTTTGTTGACACATTTTTCCGTCGTGTTGAACTTGGCTAAAAGCACTGCCGGCAGCAGAGTTAAATGAAGCGGCGGCGGTTGTGTCATTGTCTTCCGACGTGAATCAGCTGAGAAACACATAAGCTCGTTAATTACAAAAACAAACAGCCGAACGAAAAGCGACCGCGCTGGCAATTGAGGCGAAAGCACTAAAAAGCCCGCAACTCGCATACACGGCGCGAGAGTCTACTGATAAATATTTGACTTTTAATGTGCGTGTGTGTGTGTGTATTTATTTGTATTTATTCAGTTTCGTTTTTATTATTTCAGTCCTGCCCCAAAGTTATCTTTTTTCCTCTCTCGCATGGTGTATAGTCAAGAGTGTATTTATACACACTGCACACATGAGCGAGAGAGCGGACGGGCGGACGGGCTTGCGAGTAGTGCGGGGGGCAGGGGTATTTTTTCTCTTTTTTATAAATAAAGCACATGATGGTAAGCAAGCAAGCTCCCATAAAATGAAGGTAAATATTTGAGGATAGCTGAAAACTTGAAAAGCAGGCAATATGTCCGCCTGTGATGAGCAAACACTCGCTCCTCTCTCTCTCTCTCGCGCCGTGTTTGCCCAGAACTTTTGTAGCGCGGCGCAGCGGCGGCCTTAAGCAAACAGTCAGTGAGTACAAGGGCCTGGGCGCGCTTGCACAGCAACCTCGATTATCGTGCCCGGGGAGATGCGATTTTTATACCAGTGTTCGCCCTTATCACTCACCCTACCTACCCGTCCGCCCGTCCAAAATTATCATAATTCGGCAGCATGGCTGCGTGTAACTAACCGACAGACGTCATTCCCGCCCAATGCAAAGTAGAGTGGCCCGAGGGGATCCAAATTTATGAAAAATTTGCATCTGGATTACTGCCGAGGGTAAAATGATTGGGTGAATGTTAATTTTAAAGTAGCCCTCTAGGGTGAGAAAAATTGTTTATCTCTGGTTTATTTTTTATTATAATTGTTGGTGGAAACAAAATATGATGGATTAAATTTCTTGAATTGAACAATGTTAAAAAAAATGTAGCCAAGTTACCTATCAATAATATCGTCCGAAACAGAGTCAATCTTTTAATGCTAATTACCGAAAAAGATAAATTTTTTTATATAAAAAAAAATCTGAAAACGGTTAAAAAAATCTTTCTTTACTAGCGATCAAATTTTAAATTAAAAATATTTGTGAGTAATTAAATATAATTTAAAAATAAATTAAAATACGAAAAAAAGAACTGTTTCATTTCGTTTTTTATTTCAATTTTTAGTTAATCATTAAATTTGCAACAGTTCCCTTAAAAAATTAAGGCAATTGATGTCCGTGTTATTAATTATGTTTAAATTATTTTAATGCAATTTTTTCAAATCGACAGTTAATTTAAATTATTGTTGATTTAAACAATTTCCTTCCTCATTGCTAAAATGCTAAACTGAAAATTAGCAAATATTGAAAAAAATGCAAGTCAGCAAATCTAATTTTAGTTTATATTTTCAGCAATCATGCAGTTGTGCACATTTTTAAGTCAAAACAAACAGAGGTATTTACAAACACCATCGAATAAATAAGAAATAAGCACCTTTAATCTTTAGGTAATCCAAGTCTTGATAAGAAACCCGAAGAAAAGGGCTTGTTACTTTCGTTATTTACAGCGGCTTTCGTGACCGACCGCCACGGTAATGGAAAATTGTGTCAACACCATCAACATAGGAAGTAATGAATTTCGATCTCCCCTAATTGAAATCGGCGGTGCCGAGAGCGAGCGAGCGAGTCGTGTGTGCACGTGCACGGGCGTAAATGTGCGTACGGGAGAGAAGGATGGATTTTATCTGCCCGGCGGTGGCGGCGGTTTTCGCCCTCCCTCCGCAATAAAAATAATTTCCCATGATAAATATAGTATATAAATTCGGTGTTATTCCTGCGACACGTGGCCCGGGTGATGCTGCGATTAAGAGCACGCACGTGACCCACCCACCCACATCACACGCTGCGTTTATGAGATCAATACGTATACATGCGATAATGAGCTTGGCTCTGTTGGGGTGGGTTAGGGGTGCGCGCCCTATCCTCTAGCTCTCCAAATAAATGGAGCCGAGCGAGAGAGCGCTGCAAATTAGTATACTGAGCGCCGCCGAGAGCAGCTGCAAGCGAATCGGCTCATTAGTCGCCGATACGATCAAACACGTCACACGCGAATTCGTTAAGCCGATTTTAACTCTTCCGAGTGGGTTTTCAAATTTCAAGTGCTGTTACAGCTAGTTAAGTATATTTACTTCCCAATGGGAGGGATAATAAAAGTTATTATGTTGAATTTAGAACAATTTTTTAATGAAGAACATTGAATTCATAATATTTGAATAATTTGATCAAATGCAAGTAACAAAAGTTGAGTCTATAGCAATCTGATATCAGTCAATTAAAATGTGAATCAAATTAATTGCTAAGATTTTATTTAAAGAATACAATTATATGAATGTACACAAGGTATAAAAAATAATATTCAATTTAAAATACTATAATTCATAAATAATATGTCAATTACTTATGATTATATAAAAATAGTTTTAAATGCTTATAATAAAAAAATTTACGATGTTAATTTTAATTTGTGTATTTTTTAATGAAAATAAATAAGTATTTTAAAAACATATGTAGCTTGCTTGCATATTTTTTATAGCTTACAATTTCAAAAATATTTAAAAATGTTTTGGATAAATTTCTGTACACAATTAACGCACTGCATTTTGATTACTTTTTAACGTGAGAAAGAAAAGAGTTCAATTTTTCTAAACCTTAATTTGTTTTTCTTAACAAATGCCAAATTACATAGAAATTTAAAATTTATAGAGAAGCCCTGAGCCGGTTATTCCACCGGAATATGTCAACAAAGGAGCACTCCGTGCTACGTATATGTAAGCGAGTTAAGTCTGGTGTGCTGCTCTTTACGTTACTTTTTTGCACAAAATAAAAGGAGAGAGACGAGCCGTGTGTGTGTGGATGTGCTTGTGTGTGTGTGTCTCTCTCTTTTGCAATGAAATAACACGGCTCAAACGAGACGAAAAGATCACAACAATAAATTGTGTAAGGAAACCTACCTGCTTGTGCATCTCAACGTTGAGCCCGTAGGACATCTCATAGTACTGAAACAAGCATTACCAGTCGGTTACATCTCAAGTTGTTTCGCGGGAAAGGACATAATATGGCCTACCATAACGTAGTGGCGTTGTATTTCGATTTTCTCGCTGGCCAGCTTCTCACACTCGAGCTTGAGACTGAAAACAGAGATTGGCGTCTTGAGTGGCGAGCGAATGGAGAAAAGGGAGTCAGATTTTGTTGTAGAAAAATCATGCAATTTCTTGAAATCTCTACTATTTCAAAATGTAAAAGAACAAAAAATTTATTTAAAACTTTTTTCTGAATATTCCACCACGTCTTAAAAGTTAAACAAAAAATAAAAGGAAGCACCTATATAGCTAAATTTAAAAAAAAAAATTTGAATTGAATTGAAACTGGATTTGTTCGTAATTCTTTCATCTCCTATTTAATTAAAATTAAAAAATGATGTACTAATTTCAAATTTAACTTAATTTTCTAATATTAAATTAATTTCTACAGATTTTTTAATCCTATAGAGTTCATAATGAACTACTAAAGACTGGCATGAAAGGGAGCAGAAGTGAATGAAACGTCTTTAAATCCTGAAAGGGGAGTAAATCGCAGAGGACTTTGGTGTGTGTGATACACTTACTTGTGGTACTGCGCCTGCAGGAAGTTGAACTCCTCTTTGATTCTGTCGCAAGATTCAGCTACAGTGAACTTGAAAGGCTGTCCCGGCTGGGGCGGGCCCTGCAACCAAAGCAAACGATCGGATCAGTGAGAGAATTATAAGCAACGCGCGGGGTGCGGTGGCTCTTTCTTTTCTTAAATATATGAATTTATTTTGTGTGTTTTCGCGTCGCCTTTGTCTCGGGTGCACAATCAGCGACGCTATTTGTTTTCTAATAACACCCTTCCGTCGCTCAGTCGGTAGGTCGGTCGGCTGCGAACCATTGGGCCGCGCCAAGGAAGCGCCGCCACCGAGGATCCTTCACGCTCGCCTGCCGTGCAAATTGGACGCGCAGCCTGATTTTACACAGCAGACTGGCGGCGGCCGAGTGTTGCTCTTTTGTCAGTGAGCGGCTAAGTAAATCACCGGCCGAATTTAATAACGTCCAGCCCGAGGCTTTCCAGAGTTCTTTTGTTACCAAACTCAAATGTGCAGCAATCGTGAATTCAATTCCGTTTAAATTGGTTAATTACTCACTTCCTTTTATAATTTTGAAGTGCAAACACAATTTTAATTAGATGCTTATTATCATCACTAGAATTTTATGTTATCCCTTCGCTTTGATTCTATGTTTGAATTTAAACGACAATTATTTTCAAAACGTAATGCTGGCAATTTTACTCGCAAATAAAACGAGGGGTGAATATAAATGGGCTAATAAATTTCAATTTGCTGTGTGCGTGCCCGCGACCGATGACGTGTTTTGGTTTTATCGGCGGAAAGCTTGCGCGAATTATGTCAATAGCCGGTTTAATTTTGGTGCGCTATTTGTTTTTCTACTTTGCAGTGCCGGTGCGGTTTAGTTCGAACGCCGGCGAGTTGTTTTTTTGCGTGTTGTGATCTGAACGCTAATAAATATGTACGATACTGGTAAACTTTAATTTATTCTTCAATTAAAACTGCTACTATAATTACAATTCTTTTAAGATTGAGTTCATGGGAATTGCCATTATATGGACCGAAGAACAATAAACAGTATAATTATTAAATTATAAATTACGCTTAACACTAATCGTAAAATAATTGTAATAATATTTTTGCAGATTTTCAACAAAAAATAAATTTATATAAAATTAAATTAAACAATTCATGTGAGCGAATAAATTATATATTTTAAATTAAATTCATTGAAAAGAATGATAGTTAGTAATTTTAACTTTTTTTATTCTTTTGTGAACAAAATTTGTTAACATATGACACGACTTTTCACGCTAAGCGAGCTCCACGTGCGGAAGAACACAGCTCAGTCCCTGATTTTCAGCAGAAAAAAAACGTGCAAATTAACAGTCAACAGTTGGATGGAAGCAGATTCGGGTCGCGCAGAGGAAGCCAAGTGCCATGTAGCCGCAGGCGTCAGTCAACCTCGGTGGTCTTTCGGAAAAATCTGATTCACGGCAGCGCGGTCTGCTCGCCTGCTGCTGCTGCGGAAGCGTCAGTTAATATTTCACAAAACGTGCTGCGTCGCTTTACGTGTGCGGTGTCCGATTTCCCAACCGACGACGACGTTTTATTTTATTTTTTCCTCGCAGCCCCGAGATCAATTAATTAGCCAATAGTCGGCGGTCAATTACGGATCTAATTAATTAGTCGCGGACGCAAATCGCCGTTAAAGAGAGAAAAAGAAAGCGACGAGAGCAGCCGAGGGGAAAATTGGCCTGCAGAATGACCAGTCGGCGGCGCACTTGGGCGTGAGAAGAGAGGAGCCATTCACTCGTCGGGCCGTGACTCAATAATAATACACCGGCAGCCAGTGCAGCCACCACTTTATCTCTCGAAGAGGGAAAAGGCAGCCAACATCCGCGACTCCAATAAAAATTCCTCAATGCGCCTCTCAGCCAGCTTTTCTTTCTTTCTTCCTCTCTCGCGAGATTTGAAACAATCTAGAGACCGAGTGACTGACTGCTTGCTTGCGAGGGGGAAACGGTCCTTGATAATGACGACCGACGGAGCGCAGGGAGTTTCTTTTTGACGCCACGTCGTCGGATTTTTGGCACCGGTCCCGCGCGCTTTCAGCCGCGAGCCAAAAAACATCAGGCTTTTTAAGGATGACCTCCTCTGGCAATTAGCTTTGTGACATAATTTTCTGCTCGCTTTCGTGCGGAAAACTAGCCAGCCTTAAAATTAGCTTCGAGGGTGATGTGCAAAAAAGAAAAAGGGCAGCTGTTGTACTTATATTTTTGTTGCAAATTGAATGTCACAATTCATGGTAAATTAGCAGACTCATCAATTTAGATTGTTCGAGTAGGTTATGATTGAAACCTCATTTGAATGCCCTATTTCAAATTAATTCGCAATGATAATGTATAAAGCAACTGAGTGGCTATTTTATGAATGATATTTTCTCTTAGATTTAAATGTTAATTGTAAAAAATGAAAAAAATTAAAATAAATTTCAAAGAAGGTAGAATTATATTTTAATGTAATATAAAAATAAAATTTTTCATTTTTCCAATATAAATATATAAATCTAAAAGAGCGCACATCAAGCCATTTTAGTGTTGAATTGTATCTTTTTGGTCACATGAGTCAAATTATTACTTTAAAAATGATTAAATTCAAGACAACTTTGTATAATTTAGCTTTTTATTCATGTCATGGCAATATAATTATAATTAAATGAAAAATTTCTATAAAATAAAATATAAAATTGAAATTTTCGAAAAAATGCCAAAATGTAAAGTATAATAAGATTTATTTTAAGATAAAATTTTCAAATATGTTTTATTAAAATTTTAACATTAAAAAAAGTTAGTGCTCTCCTTTGTAGGCATCCTTGTAGAAATTTTAATTAATTGCCGGCTGTTTGGCACTCTTTTAGCGACACACCAGCTCATTACCGCTCATAACACGCCGCTCATCACGCGAGGCAAAAAACCGTGTGCTAAAATGTACAAGTCGTGATGCTGTTGATGATGATGCACGCTCTTTCTCTCGCTCGCTCGCTAACTCGCGAGAGCGGTGGTTAAGGTAGCGAGTTAATTAGCCCGGCTGATATAAAGGCCGATTGGGCGCATTAGAATTTTACACGGCATAATAAACACCCGGCTGGCGGTGCCGAGCGAGCTGATGATGATAGAGGCAGAAAACCACAAAATAAAGGCGGCGGGCGTTCGGGCGGCCGAGAGGAGGGGAACGAAATAAAAACCACGGAGCTATTACAGGTTTCGTAATTTGCGGTTTAATGGAATCAGCCGTCAGGTATGCGCGGTATGGCCAGCAAACCGAATTATTGATTAATTGCTCCCGAGGAATTCAGACTGACTTATTTTCACACTCTCCAAATTCACAGGATGCTTTTCCAGCAACGGAAACTTGCTCGGAACGTAAACAACTGCGGCTCCGAATTCCGGGAAGCTTTCCCGGAGATATGTCGCAAGCGGATTGTTTTCAGGATTCACGTTCCTGCCGCTTTGGGGCTGACAAGTTGCGGCTTTCGGAAGGAATTTCTGCGGTTGTTCTTGGCACCAAAATGAGCGCAAACAGATATCCAACAATTTTGACTGTGGCACTTCACGCTAATCAAAATGTGAAGTACCGAATTCCAAAAGTAAAAGTAGCATTATTGATTTAAATAAATATTCATCTTTTTAAATTTATTTTGGAGCATTTATTTAAATCACTGGGTTTACTTTTAAGGAAAAGCCTCTAGGCGGAGCTGGTTTAATTTGTAAATTTTAAAAGCTGTTAAAAAGTATTTTTACTGAAAGTTAACTGGACCTGCTTGCACTTTCCTGCGTAATTTGAAAATTTTATCCCCGCCGTAAATAAAGTTTCACAACGTGAAATTATTTCGCACCCAGACCGTTTTATAATCCGGTCGCATGTCGAGTATCAATTTCAGGCTTCTTTACGGCGCGAATTCAGTTTTCACCGAGCTAAATTATTCAAATTGCCTCAAAAACTCATAAAAACTTTTCGCGCAGCAGCCTGTAAAAGGCGAGTAAGTAAGAAAAATCGCACGTTGGGAAAGAAAAACAACTTTTCAAATTAATCCCACTCGCTCGGTCGCGCCACATTTATACACACGCCAGCCGTGTAAGGTAAAATTTATTTAATTAATTACCAGGCGGTAATTGTGCTGCAATTTAATAAACACGCCGGCGGCGTTTTGCACGAAGAGAGCGAACGAGCGAGTCGAGAGCAGTTTCGAGTTTGGTTTGTGTTTTTATTTTGAAAGTAGGGTAAAGTCAAAATGGAATGCTGCCGGGCTGCGGCTTTCGCGGTTAACCCTTCAGCCTGGTCATATGGTCAGTCGTGTATCCACCACAAAGCACCACCGCACACACAATGCCAACATAATTTAATAATTATCATTTTTAAGCCTGCGCCGCCGCCGCTGCTGCCGCCACCGCCGCGAGCCGGTAATTGACGGCGGAAAAAAAGTAGATAAATTATTATTTCTCCCGTGGCGGAGGAGGAGGAGAGAAAATAATAACGATGGATGGATGGGATGCGCCGCGATGCGTTGAAAAAGCGCGGGCACGCCAGCCGTCGACGCGGAGAGAGAAAGATGAAGAAGATAAAAAAAGAGAGTCAAAACGAGCGTGGCAATAAATTTTGCAGTTTTCGTAAATGATACTAATTTCACGCCGGCGTGCTCGATTATTTAACATTAATAAAAACACACGCACACACGTGAGATTGCGATAAAGACGTGTACTTTCGAACCAATTAAAAATATTTAAAAATTTGAGATGATTTTTTTTATTTTAAATAATTTTAGTGTGCAATTATAAATTTTCTCAGCTAATTATTTACTTTTCCACAACTCGGTATCGCTTTTTATCACGCTGTCATTATGTCCGAGGCCTCTGCTTCTCTTTTTCTTTTTCACTGAGAAAAAATGGAACGCAGCACGGAAAGTGGCCCTCGTTTATATACGAACGTTATCATCGCGCCACGAAATGATTAAAAAAGGGCAAGCCGGTCGATGCGAAAACTCGCAGCTGCGTCAGATCCACGTATAAATAAATATATCTGAAAAATATAAATGTGTGTTGCACGCTCAAATATTAATAGTGCCGAGATAATTCAAATGAAGTTACTACTCAGCAATATTATCAGAGCCAATTAATCCTGGCCGCTCTCCCTCGGCTGATCAAACACCGAGCCTCGGGGGAGGTGCATGCGTGTTTGAACACCCATTACACCCACCCTAGAGCGCCCCATTGCCGCCCTGAGGACGAGGTGGCCGAAGCAACTTACCGGGTGCCGGGCCGCCGCCGCCGCAGCTGCTGCCGCCGCGTTCATACCAGTTGGGTACATTTTCTGTCAGCAGCACATTGTAGTCCTGGCTGCCTTTCCAGCACCAGATGAGTTTTATCCAAGAAAGGCTGCAATCGGGTAATCCACAAGGGCACACTTCTTATTTCTCCTAGTTTTGAAAATAAAGAGTTAAACTCCAGAGGTCTGGCCGTGCACGTCCGACTGCAATCGCAATCCACTCGCTTCTGGCGGCACAACTCGCGCGCCCCCCACTCCTCCGCGCTCGCCTCCCCTCTGAGGTGCCGGGCCGGTTGCCTATATTGCCGCCTCGGATTTTGCTCAAATCCGGCTTATTTTGGCGCCACGCGGTGGACGGCAGCGGTTTGGCGGTGCCTTGGTCGGTCGGTTGGGCTTTGCGTCCGAGAAGCGGCCGACCCGGTGGCTGCTGCTGATCGGCGCCGTCGGAGCCGGTCGATGTTAAAGAGTTTAGTGTCTGATTGCCAGTATAGCTTGTACTGCAATGGCGTGGTACCGACGCCACCACAAGAGGGGTAAAAAAACTCGAAGACAACTTTTGTTTGATACTCCACGTGGAGTCGTAATGAACTTATCAAGCGGCGTCGGCCAATCGGCGCGCCACGTTCGACCTCATCATCCAACGGCGCGGCGCAAAACGCCGACCACACCTCGGCATAACGAAGCAGTTGCCGAGCAGCTCGGCCCCGGCACCGAGCGCACCAATGACGGCCGCCGACCGACAATCTATGGCGTCTTTTTTGACGGTTGCTTGGCAACGCCGGCAGCCGACGCTCGCCACTCAAACTCCACGTGGAGTTCTTTGAATTTGAAAAAGAGCCAGAGAACATAAGGGGGTGGGTTGGTTGGTTGGTTGTTGGAGTAGATGGAAGAAGGTGCTATGTAGGGATTGACGAGAATGAAAAAAAAATGCAGTAGAGAAAAAAGCAGCAGCAGCAGCAGCAGCCTGAGTATAAAGAGCGAGCGAGCAGAGAGGGATCCAAACCTTAGCATTTTCATCTTCCATGTCAAATATTTTATATTCTGCAGGGGAAAACGAACTGGAAAAGTAGAGTGCTGGCGGAGCAGAGAGCGCCGGCGGTTTTTTATATACATACATTTCTCTCTTATTCCTTTTTTTATTTCTATCGCGCACCGTGATTGCCACAACGCGATATTAAATTATTGTCTATTGGTGTGCATGAGCGAGAGAGATAATTACACATGTTAAGAGAATACACACATATTATTAGAGAAGCAGCCAACGCGAGAGAGAGAGAGCGAGGCGCGCACCGAGTGGTAGGGGGAGATTACAGCGTGTGTTTAACATCTGTTATGGGGGCCTGTAAATGTTTTAATTGTTGAATCATTAAACTATAGGCTCTCTCTCTCGCGCGCTCTCCTGGTCGCCGACGCGCTGTCGTCATTTCTGTTCTGACCACCAGCGAGCGTTTTTATGAATTCCATTCCGACGCGGCACGCTCGCTGTGCCTTTTGTAAGTCTGCTGCTGCTTTTTTGCGCGCTGGAATGAATTTTATTTTTTTGTTTCTTTTTTTATACGTTTTATCTGAGAAATATCAGCGCGCAGAATGCTGTTGCTGAAAATATTTATAAAGGAGCGAAGTGTATAAATTTATATATACGCTGCTGGCTGCCGTGCCGTGTGTTGTAAAATGTTGTGTGTGTAGGTTACCAATAGGCACTTAAAAGAATACAAGCGAGAGAACAATGGGCACGATAAAAAAAGTCCAATTTCCATGCACAAACCAATTCATATCACAGCCTGGCTGAGTTCCTTTTTCGTATTATTCGCGACTGAAATGCTAATAATTTCTGAAAGTCGAATGTGAATGAGTTCATAAAAGGAGGCAAAAACAGAATAATTGTATTGTGATTATAGGCGTTGTTCTTATAATTTGATAAGTTATATTAAAAGGAAAATCAGTTTTTGTAAAATATCATTAATACAAAATTATTTATTCCGAGTAATAAAATCAGCTTATTTTAATCCCCATTTTAACATTTATTATTCAGGCATAAATTGTAGTTGCTAAAAATGTATAGTTAATTTAATATTGAATTTAGTAATAATATTAGCGAGCAACAAGATAAACACCGCGCTTTATTTATCATTTCCTCCTTCCTGCTTTATTGAAGTACTCGATTGGTCTAGAATTCAAGCAATTAATTATTTGGTCTGGAAAATATTAATTGAAAATAAATATTTGCACCTGCTATCAAAATTCCTCTTTACTACTAACAACGGGGTTGATAAAATTCAGAGGAATTTCACGTTTGGAAACAATTTACTTTTAATTAGTTTGATAAGTTGCAGCGCCGGCCGGCAGTCGACACAGAGCGAGCACTGTCGAATAATAAATTTGAAATAAGCTATTACTTGGCTCGGCGCGGCACTCGGCTTCAAAATGACTGTGCATATTATAATGGATGATGGTTATTAGTGGCTGTTAATACAAAACCGCTTGCCTGCCCGCTTGACTATACATAATGTGGCCAAAGGCCTACTGCTGTAATTTTGTTATTTTTTTTTTTTCACTCTGGTCGCTCTTTTGTACAAAGCGCGGCCGTAACGTATATATAAACGTGCACGGCCGGCTATTGTGCCGCGCTCTGTTCGCGCCTCGCATGCTTTTTTGTACATATAATAATATTGTAGCGTCCGCCCGCGTCCTTGGACTAGCCCGCGAAAATATATATAATTCGAGTGCTTTTATTGTTATTTGCGAAACAATACCGGGGCGATAGATGGATGGGTGGGTGGGTATATGGTGCGGTTGATGATTGTTTTACATCAGAGCGAGTTGTTTGATTAGAGCAGTACATAAAACGATATGTTGTAGTAATTCAGTGCACAGCTTGTTAAGTATTGATTTGTCTCACCTCACTCACTCTCTCGCGAGTGAACGAGCGAGCGAGCGCGGCACACACAGAGTATTTACTCTGCATTATACAGGCAGACAGCATCGCGTGCAAATGATAAGCCCCACTGCTGCACGGCCGCCACCGCCGCTATATTACACACAAACGCTGCTCACACACACACATTTATGTATACGTGTGAGTGTAAAAGTTTTTGTGTTCGTGCGGTTGTTTTTTAAAAGCTGTAAATATTTCATAAACGGGGCACCGCCGGTTTATGATATGCGCCATCAAAATCGGTGAGTTTTATCAAAATATCCCATCGATGACGTCTCAACATGATATATTTAAATGTGTTATAAAATTATATGGCTATATCTAATTTATTTTGATATGCTTAAAATTAAAAAGATTTAAGTAGCTAATAGCTAATATTATTTTTTATTTATTAAATTTTATTAAATCAAATTAAACTTTTCTGGAGGAGTTTTTTTTTATTTCATGATTTCTAAATTTCCCAATATGGTTGTTTTAAATTTTTATTTAAAAAATATTAATTTGAATTAGTTAAAAAATCTTCTTGATAAAATCTTCCTTTAAAAAAATATATTAGATAAAGCCACATAACTTTGATCATCAATTGCAACTAATTTTACAATGCATTTTAATACATATTAAGTTAAGACGTGTCATACTGATAGTATATTTTGATTCACCAATTTATTTCAATTTCTGCGAGGTCTGAGGGTGAAAGATAATATATTTTATATACAGTGGATTTTTATTAATTTTTGTAATGCTCGAAGCAAGCATAAATAAAATAATAATAAAATTAAAAACATGTTATAAAAGAAATTTTATCTCCAAAGCAGTGGTTTGTGTGGATAATAAATGTATTATGCAATCAAATAATACTGTTCTTTGATTAAGTTTTTATTAAATAAAATAAATTTTTTTCTATAGTAACTTTAATTGTAACAATTTGTAAATTTTCGTTTAGCATAAGGAAACAAAATCAAAACTTGGATTAGAAAATTTAATTATTTTAAATAAACTATTTATTTTCAAGCAAATACAATTAAAGTTTTAACAAAAAAGCTGAACTTAAAAAAAAAATGTTTTTGATTGTAAAAATGTCTGCACACAAACCAAAGCTCTGAGATTAAATATTAAATTTAATTTATAACACATTTGAATTTTTTTTATTATTACATTTATTCTGCTTTGTTAGATAATTATGATAATTAAATAAAATTAAAAAAAAAATCCATTAAAATGTTTTATATTTCACTTGGAGAGACATTTATTGAACTTGCTCCTTGCTTAAAAAAATAGCATTTTAAATAAATTTAAATATAAATATGTAAGTTTTCATTTCCCTTAACACGTGCGGAAATCTAACGAGAAGAGGATATTGTCTGTCATTGTTCCATTATGTGCGCGCTAAAGCTGGCCAGCAGCAGCTGAATGAGGGTCAGCAGGCAGCAGCAGCAGACAAAACGGAAATTATGAAAGGGAATGACTTGGAGGGACAGGTCACGCTTTAAACGGCAGTCATGCCTGTTTTAAATTCAATGAGCAATATTTTCCGCAGCACTGCTAGCAGGCATGCCATATATGCTCCAACAGCACAAACCAAGCGTGAGGTTATCAATTTTCCTGCGGCCGCTTTCCTGCCAGCTGCAGAAATTTTTCGGAAATAATATCATGCGGGCGCTTCTCATTAGTGCGGCAAGAAAATAATGCGCCAGCGTTGGGGTCAGATGGACGTATTTTGATAATTTCGCGTCCTTCATACACATTTGATGAGGGGATTAAGCGTTTAACTTGGGCCGATTTTTTTGCACGTGTTGTGTTTTGTGAGCGCCGCATTAAATTCTCGGTGCAGATAGATCGAGAGAGATGGATTGATATACAAAGAGGGGCGGTGTGGGGTGGAAAGAGGCGCTTTCCACCGCACGCAGCACACGATGGGGGAGATTTTGATATTATTGTGTGCACATAAGGGGGATTATTATTATTACTGCGCGCGTTCTCTCTCTCTCTCGCGCGCTCCCTTTTACCATATTAACGACGGGAAAAATCAGCTCCAGATTCACCGACGAGCTGTGCTCTTTGTGTTTCGAGTGCAGCTGCTGCTCGCCTTGCCTCGACCGGCCGGCTATATTGACTACTACTTATGAATTTAGAGCCTGTTTGTGTCGCAACCCTTCCTTTTTTTTGTGAGTGTAAAACGCCACGGAAATTTATTAGCATACGAAATGTAAATGCAACGAGCGGTTCGGTTAGTTTAATTTTTTGTAGTCTGCTTAGGGCGATTTAGACAAGTCCCATACAATTAGTCATCCGAGAAAAAGAAGCAGGGGGGAGAGGGATGTTTTAATATATGTTTGCCTCTAAATAATACGTGTGATGATATTATATAAAATTTTATTTATAAAAAAAGAACCGCTTTTCGTTCGTGAATTATAAATTATTCATCCCGGAGAGCTTTTAGCCGGTTAATTCGAGCCAATCATATTTTGGGCGCGATACATAAACGGGGGTAATATTATTACTCGACCGCTGACGCCACTGCTGCGCGTCGTTTCCAGTTGATAATTATGAAAGCGCGTTAGCTCTCTCAC